AACATTCAGTGCGCATGTCTGACCCCGACCGAGGGGGAGACTAGCTGGTTGTGACGTGGGACCTGGCCCTGGGCTGTAGGAATCCAGGGAACAATTCACTGAGTCTGGCAATGTCTGTGCGCGCCCTGTGACGTGATAGACACACAAATCAATGTCACCGCTGACTGAGCGTGTCCGCTTGTCCGTTACTTGGGCAGGCTCCGAATTTCAGAGCCAGGGAAGTGAGTTGGATCCCAAATGGAGCCTCCAGCTGCTGTAGTTGAAGGGGGAGGAGGGAAAATCTCACTCTTCATCGCGAGGAGGTGCCCGCCTTTCTCTGCTTTGCCCTCAGGGGTTTCCTGTCACCGTGAGTCTCTGGCACAGTAACAGCGGGCGGTGCCCTCGGGCTCCAGGCCGGTCATTGGCAGGTGTAGCAGGTTGTTGGGATTGTCCGTGGAGACGGTGAAGTGCCCTTTGGCCGACTCTATAAAGAACATTTTCCCCGAATCACACTGCAGCGAGTTCCCGGGAACCTGGCGCATCCAGTAGCTGCTGGAGGTGAGCCCAGAGGCTTAGCAGAGGGTCTCAGGGACTCCCCGGGATTCTAGACTCCACCCCAGACGCCACCAGCTCCACCTCGCACCGGGCACCTACGAACACAAAACACCCCAAACACTTCGGAGCTGGCGGCGAGCGAGGGAAGGAATCTCCCTGCGCAGAACATGGCGAGGGGCGAAGGGCAACAGGAGACCCGGCAGGGGCTGCGGGGCGGGGGCCGTTTGGGAAGTGTCTCTCGGCGCCTGGGCTTTAAACAGGCAGCGTCCGCCCGGAATGTGCCTGGCTCGTTCGCGGTGTAGAAAGGGCCCCTGGGCTGGGGGCTGGGGGCTGGATCACACCCACAATTACCGCCCTGCACGGGGGGTTGTTTCTGTTGCGCCTTGTCAAGCCGAAGATTGAATCAGACCCCTTGTCAGGAACCGGACGGAGGGTGCCCGCGCTGCCCGGCACCTCAGCCTGGACGGTTCCGCATCACTGCAGGGAGCGGGGTGGAAAAGGTGTAACGTGCACTGGGGAGTCAGTGGGCCAGCCAGGCTGAGAGTCTCAGACCGGTACCGTTCTCTGGCCTCTGCCATGCAGCAGCTCAGACCGGGCCCTTCAGTCTCTGACCCTACGAGAGTGTCCTAAGGGGGTTAGGAACAGACATTTCATTTCTTTCTGCTTTCCTGCAATTTGGACACCGAACTCTCGGGTTATGTACCAGCCCGGGGCCTTTATGTATCGGGGCCCATTTACTGTAACTACTGAGGCTGAGGCTGATAAAGAAGCAGGTTTGTGCTTAGTGGGATTTTCAAGAACGCTGGCACACCCAGCCTGCACTGAGATCTATGGGATTTAGGCACCCAAGTGATTCTGGAAGCTTCACCAAGGAGCTTGCGAACAGGTGATTGCTAACAGGGAGTTTTGAGAGGGAGTTCTCTAGGTGAAGGAGAAGCAGATACAGGACTCTTGAGGGAAGTGTGTTTTGTCATTGGGGCTTTCTTAGTGTGTGCAGAGCTTGTGTTTGTTTGGTGTGTGGTGGTGTTGGTTTTTTTTTTTCTCCCCCCCCCGCCCCTGTTTGAGTGAGGCTTTAGAGGGAGAGTTCTCCAGGTAGAGGAGAAGTAGATACAGGAGTCTTGAGGGAAGTGGGTGTTGTGCGTGGGGCTGCTTGATGTATGCTGAGCTTGTGTTTGTGAGTGAGGGTTGGTGTGAGTTCTTTTTTTGTTTTTTGTTTGTTTGTTTGTTTGTTTATTTTATTTATTTATTTATTTTCCCCTGTGTTTGAGAGTGAGGCTTTTTTCCCCCCCCCATTCCCTCCCCTTGATAGTGTTTGTGCTGTGATTGGTAGGGGCTGTGATTGGCAGGTGGAAACTGTTGGCTTCTAATTAAAGTTTGAATTCTAGAAGCCTCTGCAGATTGGCTGAGCCTTGGTAGGGGGAGGGGCTTTATAAGGCAGTGGGCAAGCAACCAAGGAGCTTGCGAACAGGTGAGTGCTAAACA